TGTGTGTGTGTGTGTGTGTGTGTGTGTGTGTGTGTGTGTGTGTGTGTTGCGTATCGTAGTCTGCTGTATACCAAGGTGAAGTTGGAGTCGATGTGTAGAGGACCAGAGGAAGCTCTGCTCACCTGTAAACACATGCTGCAGATCTGGAAGAGCTTTTACAACCTTACCAACCCCAGGTACGCACACACACACACACACACACACACACACGCTCCTTCAAATGCAACGACTTAATATGTAATGTGTAAATCAGTTGTTAGCATCTCAGTCCAATCAAAAGAAATCATCTCTGTGCACAACTGCCAAAAACTTATAAAATGTACGTTTATTTATGTTTTATTTATATGTACATGGAGATACTGTCTGTGTCTTTCAGGGTCAGTAGTATTTATGTAGTTGAGAATCAGAGGGTAATTTCCATTTACTAAACTAAACAAAGCTTGTTAGTCATATTAGTCATTATTATATATTAGTTAATCAAATGGTATTAGAAAATTTTAGAAATTCAAAATATAATTTTATAAAATCTTCTAGTCTTTTAACGATAGCTCTAATCTAGTTTACATCATTATGAAACAGCATTTTGATCACGAGTCAGGTCCAATATCTTGACCATATTTCATGTTACGTCTTTTACTCTTCAAGTCAAATATTAGCATGCTAATGTTAGTTTTGACAGTCGATTCAGTTTGCGACAGTTAAACCTGGCAGTATTAATGTTGAGCAATAACTAATCTCTTTTTTTTCGAAGTTTTGTTTATTGAAGTTTTCAGGGATGACATGGATCAGCCGTTCAGTTTTTAAGTTTCAGTGCCGACAGAATATGTTCTATATTGTTCCATAATATTAGGTAAAAACAACAACAGATGATAATAAAAAGTGAATAAAAATGACAAACAACAAATAAGTAAATTAAATAAAAAATAGAGATAAAAATAGAAACAAAAATTAAATAAAAGAAAGATAGCAATAGTGATATTAAAAATCAAAGTAAAATGATTTAATTAGAAATTTGTAAAAAAATAAATAAAATAAAGACAAATAAAATAAAAATACAACTAGTAAAGGATAAAAGAGAAGATTAACAATACCATACTTTTCTACAGTAGGTATTACTGTTATGTGGATACCCTGAGTTAGCGTTTCATAACAACTAATCTCCACAGAAGAACCAGTCTGTGTGCTGCAACCCATTTAAATGTAGTGATGTGTAAATCTGTGTGTGTGTGTGTGTGTGTGTGTGTGTGTGTGTGTGTGTGTGTGTGTGTTGTTTGTTTGTGTGAACACATGTTTCTGTGGCAGTGATTCTGGGCGTGGCAGCAGTCTGTTGGACAGGGCCTTAGCAGACAGACGACAGCTCAATGCCATGACTCTGCCTGACTTCAGTGACCCAGACACGGGTAGGCGCACACACACACACACACACACACACATTGGCTCCTACTCAGGAACCCTCAGGACCTCCCCAGTGAAATTAATACAATTGTGCTGATTGATTTTCAGTAAACACAGTTTATTGCTCTCATCTAACAGTGACCATATTTTCTTTTTTGTACAGTTGTCAATTATGATTTGATTATGAAAATGTCATCAAGAGTGAGATATGTCTTCCTGCTTCTTGTTTTTGTATCGGTCCATTCACCCTCATATCTAGATATCAAGGGACAACATTTGCCAGTACTCCAATATTGCTTCATTGACATTTGTTTCCTTTTTGCTCATCAAAGAGTTATCATGATACCATGTGTCACAAAAATTATAACTTTTCAATGTGAGAGAATTTTAGAAATATTGTTATATATGCAGATTGGCAACCAGTGACCTGTATGACTTCCCTTTCTTTATTCCTTGATTTATTGAACCCTTTTCTGTTTTATTACCTTTGTTTGTTTCAGTCTCAGGTTCTTCCTCTTCTCACTCTGGTTCTGAACCGGTCTCCCCCACTTCCCCATCCACCATTTCCACCCTCTCCTCCCCACTGTCCTCCCCTGCTTCCCCTTCTTCCCCTGTCTTCATCCTCCAGCCTCCACCTCCACCCAAAAACCCGTCCTTCCTCCCTCCTTGCCCCCCCCCTCCTCCTCCTCCTCCTCCTCATCATCCTCCTCCTCCTGCTCCTGCACCCACCAAGACCAGGACTCAATCCTTTTGCAACCACGTCTGTCTCCGACAGCTCTCTTCCAATTGTAATCCGCCTCCACGTCCACTCGGCCTGTAGCATGGTGTGGAGAGTGACTACCAAGTTTTTGGGAGAATTGCTTATCGATTTACTCGTGTGTTTATTAATGAGAGCATTCCCGGTGTGTTTTGTTGCCCCGGTGCTCTGTGCTAAACAGCGTCTTGATAAATATTAATATCAACTAGAAATATCTCGGTGTAGCTCATGTTAGATGTTTTATTATTTTAATTCAATATTATAAATTGTATTAAATATGTCACTACACTAAATAGGAAAGTATCATACTTGTATAAGTTTATCATACATTCGTTTGTAGCTATTCATGTTTCATGTTTATGATATTTCTTTCACATGTTATCAGTATAATATGACAGAGTTTCTGATAACCGGGGAACAGGTTTTGTCTAGCTGAACAGATAAGGCAGAATACTCGTACATCAGGATTACCTCACCCAGCTCTATGTTACTGGCCTTTACTACCAGTTTACAGAGAAACAGGGGGCCACACGGGGCAATAGACCACAGAGCATTGACGTCAACTTCATTTCAAAATGAGCGTCCACCACTGATCTGATTTAAGCACTTTACAAGATTTTACTCACACATTCTCACTAAGATTTTAGACCAGGTGAATCTTGCATTTGACCCGTTAACCTCACGAGCATGGACAGCCAGTTTCAAACTAAACTGACTAACCCTTACGGATGTGCTTCAAAGTCTCACCTCGATCTCCGAGCTGCTGTAACGTGTAGAAAGGAAAGGCTTTGGCTGTGGATCAGAGTGCAGTGGAGCCTTGATAGATCTGCTGCAGTTGCTTTGTGTTTTTTGCGACTTGCTCAAGGTCTCAGGTGAACTCGCTCCCTCGCACACGTTTAAACTCCACTCACTCGTAGTTGATACAGCTAGGATTTCGAGATCAGTTGGGTTCTTTTTTGATACTACTGAAAATGAGCTTCACATATTACAGCTTTGCTGTCTCTCCACATCTATCTGCTCTTCCCTGCTCTCTTGTTTTTGCTACTATTTTGCCTCCTCCTTTCTCTTTCTCGGTTTCTGTGAGGATTATACATTTGAGCCAACACTAATTTGTCTGGCTTCCCGGTTACACCTTATGTTGTCTCTCCGTGTTGCCATCTCTTCTACTAATGAGGTTTGCACTGGAAAATACCGGTTGTTATTTAGTTAAACCGTTTAGCTGTATAGTAAAATCTGTCATTTTTCTCCGTTAGCCTGAGAACAATTACATGATTTAAAACCATGACAATAAGTCCACCACAATGATCACAATTACTGAAAATCTGACTGGATTGTTTTGTTGCTGCATTGATAAGTGAGCACTTTTGTGCGCATTGTCATTCATCTAAAACGTTTTGTGGCGTGCATACGCCCCTAATTTCAATCCAACTGTCCTGAAATGCAGAATACATGTAATGTTACTCTGCACTGCCTCATTCTGAGCATGTGGTTCAACCTGCCAAAAACAAGCTCTCCTGAGTTATTAAGCAGAAACACATGAGCCTATTTCATCATTTTAGTTAATTACACTCGATGGCTATCACTACCAGTAAAAGTGCAGATTTGCTGCTCGGTAAGCATTTATTTGAACAGATTGCATAAAAGAGGCACAAGTATGAAAGCTTGTCTCATGTTATGTGGTCTAAAATACTGCTGTGAAGAATAGAAACCTCATTGTGCTCTTCTGTCTTGCTTTCTGGAATCAGCGATCGTATTGATTTGGATATTTCTTTTCTGTCTCGACCTCTCTTTCAATCATTAACAATCGTCTTTCTGTTTTTTTCCCATCCTTCCGTTTTTTTCAAGGCGGTCTTCAGGACGCTAACACTCTTGGTTTTTCCTCCATGTTTTCTGTTTGTAAGTAGCCATCTGACCTCTATTGTTCTGTCCATCCTTTGGTCCCTGTTGACCCTCCTTTCCCTGACGAGGTTCCGATATTCTGTATGTACAATATCTGTACAAAGAAAATATGTACATACATCCTCTGCTTTAACTTGATGTCTGCAGCCAGTTTCCAGGAGAATTGTATTGAATTTCTATCACATTGTTGGTATAAATATTTAAAGGAATACAACGACTTGAAGGAATATCTTGAGTATTGAAAACCGTATTGTGCACACACATTTTTCAATTTATCAGAACACAGCAATGTGAAAGTATTCAGGAAACCAACATTGTGCAGCACATTGAGTAATAAAGGGCAGATGGAGGTAGCATTTCTGACATGTTTATCCTCTTCAGTCAAGCAAAAGAGAAAGCAAATGCTCACAGAGCAACAACAGAACGGAGAGGAAGAAGCAGCTTCCTGCATGTAGCACCAATCATCTGTGAAATGTAGCCGTTACAAATGATCCAAGTTGTTTACAGTCATTTGAGTGACATAATCAATTGATATCTAACAAGGTTGTTTGAGAATCTTGTTTGAGAGAAACAATATTTATTATTTTCACCTCTGTGCATCCATTACCAAGATTTTATTGGTTTACTGCCAGTTATAAGTAACACTTGAGCACACTGTGCATATGCTATCAATACAAAATTAAATTCTCATCATCTTGTTGCTGTTCAAATGTGCATTACACTGGAAGCCGAGGGGGAACACACACTAGCCCGTGTATGGCGTGGTGATTAGTGGCATTCTTTTCCCTGTAAGTCGGTGTATTCCTTTAATTTAGTGAGCAGCTTTAGTGCACGTGTTGCTGTGTGAATCGTCCACATTTTAGGCAACGTCACTAAAAGAAGCTTCGTTAGTCGTCTGTTAGCAAATGCATAAATGTCACTGAGTGAAGACTTGTTTCTATATTTAGTTTTTATAAAATAAATTTGCCCTGAAAGGCAAGTGAGAAAAGAAGCAGAAATCTGGTGATCCACTTTCTTAATTGTTTTCTCTCCTACTTTTATGACTTAAGAACAGGCAGAAATGATCTGCCATGATCATCTTTCTATGTTACAAATACATTTTATCCAAAAGATAGACATGACAGTTATGTTACATATCTTGCTCACACACATTGTATACGTGTTTAGAACGCATGGATACATTACAACTCATCCATTAGAAAAGGATCACCAGAACTTTGTGTCTCACTTGCCTCTCAGGGCTTCCGTAGTTTTAGTATTTATTTATTTTTAGAAATATCCAGTTGATACATTGTCTTGAATATTCGGGGCACAAAATGGCATAAGTGAAAGCAATCCATATGAAAATATACAGTACCATCTCTGTTCCTCTTTCTCCAACTCTGTAACCAATGAATCACTGACTGAAAAGCACTTCATTCCTTACTCGTGCCTTACTGTCTATATGAGGTATAAGCCTGACGGTGCACGATAACAACAGTGGGGAACAAAACAGACTGGATAGATATAAATACATTCAGAATTGATTCATAATTTGCGGAGCGTTTTCTTTAACCCTTGAGTAAATTGGCAGATAAAACAATTTGTCGTAAATGCCGCAGACACATAACTGTGCAAGTTATTTAGGATTTCATCAATACGAGTTTAACTAAGGGAACAATACATGTCTTGTTTCAACATACTGTAACATGTTTGAACGTGCTGCACAAGTCTGCGCTGCTGTATGCTGGCATCTAATATACTACTTCTTACAATAAGCCCTTCAAATCAGGCTGCTCAACTTCAAATCCATTTGTGTCGTGAGAGAGATCCTTTTTTAAAGCCACTCATCAGCAACACTCCCTTTACTCAAAAATACACCGTTCATATCAATGAAAGAAGTATTTTGGAGGTTCGATCACACTGTGGGAGACCGGACTAATACGAGAAGGGGCTGTGAGATATTTTATTAAAGTAAAGCTTTTATTAAAGCGAGCTGCGACCATCAGGATACAAAAGGCATATACAGTATGTATGTGTGATCTAGTCCCTTCAGGCTGTACTTGACGTGACTTCTGTAAAACAAAAGAGGCCAAAAGGGAAAATGAAAGTCTAGCACCGTCCTAATGTCAGCCATTATTTTTCCCAATCTTTTTAAGACAGTATCCACATTTTACAACATTTAATGAGGGGAAATGTATTTTAAATATGTTCAAATTATGAAAGTGGTTCTATAATTGATCCGAATTTCAATGTCACACATAGAACAGATCACAGTGAATTAAGTCATCTTAAATATTACATCTGGACATTTTATTCAAAATCATGCACGAAAATATGGAAAGAACAGTTCAAAGTTTCTAGACGTTTTGATACTTTGTTGGTCTTCATTGGAATCAGTTGTAACTGACACTCACAGAGCAACTCTCTACCAATCTATCATGTAGACAATAGATAGGTTGGCAATAGGGGATAAGTGGCATTTAAAAAATATTCATATGTATGTTTTATGTGACATTAGAAAGATATGATAATATGTGAAAACTATTCTGGGCATCATATTACGTTTTGCTTTCACAGATCTGCAGTGGGCCTCTGCAGTCCTACGTGGTGGCCATTTTGCGTCCCTGTGATCATTTTATGTAATTGAAACAAATAAACAAAATCCGGAACACACTTCTTTCAATTACTAATCCACAGAGTGCAGATTGGTGCAGTGTGTATGCATGGTAGTGCAGAAATTCGTTCATTTTGACCTGGTTAAGCTAGCGCCATAACACTGTGTGTTGCAGCGTGTGGAATGGTGTGGACTGATTTAAAGGCTTTAGGGCAGGAACAGAAAACCTTGTGCCCATGCGGGCCCAGAGTTTTGAGCTTTTAACTTCACCCAAACACTCCGGAGTTCACTGGTATGTTCCTCTCTTTCTGTTGGATGTTAAGAGAAACGGTGAAATCTGCTAGAGTGTTTGGCTGAATTAAAACCCTGCACTGTGGCACACGGCTGCCTAACGCTGCTGCAGTAGTTAGTCAGTTCCTCTAGGAGATGGCGTGTATAATGGTTCCACTTTCTCCCCCCCCCCCAGGCTCGGTTCATGCTACATCTATAGCAGCCAGTCGTGTAGAGCAGGCTCTCTCTGAGGTGGCCTCCTCTCTGCAGAGCAGTGCCCCCAAACATGGACCCATGCACCCCTGGATGACCCTGGCTCAGATCTGGCTGCATGCAGGTATGCAAACGTACATAACTGTCACATACGTGCAAGTGCAACAGATGCAAGCACTGGGCTGGTATTTTGAAAAGGATTGATTTGGGTTCCTGAGTGAAATACTTTATACTTTGGTGTCTTCAGGCCTTTCCAATCCCTGCTGATGACCCATGTTGACACTAAAAGGCCGTAATCTGTGATGTTAATGCTCATTGCTTCATTTGAAGGGGTCACATGCTAAAAAAGGATTAGGATCACTGATTTTAAGTAGATGATTGAATGGTACAAGTTTCAGCACAGATGCTGTCTTAAAGGTAAATTCTGGATCAGGTCAGATCGATTTCTGTCACCTAGTTCTGCCCAGAAAGGTCAGTGAGTTACATTTCCTGTATATAACTATATTTTTAACACTTGGAGTAATAGCCTTTTGCCTGTTACGACTCTATACTCCAAACTAAGTATGGTATGCTACATGCATCATTTTCCTGCTAGCATAGGCGCCATCAAACAAACAGACTTGAAGTTGCAATGAGTGTGCTGGCATTAGCCTGAAGGGCCGTGTATAACAGCAGTTTGACGGCCTTCGCAATCACGGCAGATTAGATTTGCTTTGGAGTAATCTCGAGCACCGATTCTCATTTCTGCATCCCCAGCAGACACAAACATAAGCAGACTGAAGAGTACACATAAACATGCAGACAGCACACACACACACACACACACACACCCATAGAGGTTGCTCGTTCTCCCGTTTATCTCTCCAGCTGCTTCCTGTCAGAGGTGGTCATTTCCAGCTTGGCGACACGGCTAATATAATCATCCAATCACAGAGCAGACGGGCAGACGGTTCAAACTCATTTCCTCTGTCTGTGTCGTTCGTTGTTCGTATCTCTCTGTCTGCACAGATCACATTAGATGTCCTTGATACTGAAAATGTTTTTCCTATTTATGCTGTTTGAGGGAGAAAACTATGCTTTCTCACCGCTTTTTCGCTCACATTTTCTGCTTCTCCATTTAGCAAATGTTTATGTTTTCACCTTAAATACATTTTGCTTTCTGTTTGTGGCTCTTCATTTTAATACATTATTTTAGTTTGAGAGGTTTAAAAATGTTACTTGAGATGGGGCAGCATCCTCTTTGTCCAACACAGCAACAGCTTTAATGGGAAATGTAGTCTTTATTTTATAAGCTGGTTACATTGACTGTTATCTCATTTCCTTTCAGTAATTATACCAAGCTGTCCGTTGATTGAACAAAGATAATGACGTTTGAAACTACTCCAAATTGCACAATGTCATAAAAAGGCATACTATGGTGTACCATAAAACATGGCATACAAATTGCATGTGATAGTATGCCATAAAAAGTCATAGTGTGCTATTCACTCAGTTAAACACTCATGTTTGCAATCTGTCCTCCGTCTGTGTTTTCTTTGAAAGCCGAGGTGTACACCGGCATGTCGAAACCCGCAGAGGCCTCGGCCTGCACGCAGGAAGCCTCAAACCTCTTCCCCACATCCCATAATGTACTGTACATGAGGGGGCAGATCGCTGAACTTAGGGGCAACATAGACGAGGCCAAACGCTGGTATGAAGAGGCCCTGTCCATCAACCCGACGCATGTCAAGACCATGCAGAGACTGGTAATACACACACACACACTTAGACTGTTGTTCTTCTGCTGTGTCCTTGTGTTGGGCAGCTTGGCAACATAACAAACCTTGTTCTCTCCGCATGCAGTGTTCGTAAAGCCTGAGGGTTTGTTAATGTCACACATATAACTAGGCCCTGAGTTTACGAGACACCACAAAGTCAGATACGCCAGATTCAGAATGAAGTTTGTACATTTTCAAACACTACCGCAAAAAAAAAAAAATAAACTAAATTTCCAAGTCCTTCATGTCTACAAAAAAATTCATAAATCACTCATAAATAAGACATCAGAAAAAATACCACCTAAATAATTAATCTAGCCTTTTTTCCCCTCAGGCATTTGAGAGAAATAGGATTTGTAGTGTTTTGACACAAAATCATCAGAGAATGTACAATCTAAAGGAAATAAGACACACTATCCATTTCACAGAGCTCACACAATCAGTTTCCTTCCTGAATATTCTTGAATCTGCCCGCCTCAGTGGCTTGAGGAGGAATACCAGGATAAACTGCGCACCTAGAGGTGCTTGATGAGATGTGACACATGATTCAGGGCCCTACTTTTGTTCAGTATACATACATGTCCTTAAATCTGGTCAAACGTGAATCACAGCTTATGAACGAGAGAGGTGCGTGTATCAATGGTGACACGTGTTGTTCTTACGGTGGAGGGTGCGATGTGTCCCAGAGTTTACCTGTTCATACACACTCTCTCCCCCCTCACCCCCACCTTCCCAGAGTAGAAAGGGAGGAGGTGAGGCAAAGTGGAAGTGCAGGACTGGTTTTATTTGCTGCTCCATCATCATATATTGCTAGGTGACGTGTCAGTGATTTACTTTCTGCAATTGAATAGAATTCCGCAACAACACGTGTAATGTTACAAGTCAGGCAAATGTATTGGTGCCAACAAGAATCATCAACACCAGTATCTGAGTTAAAATGCACAGCAGTACACATTCATCACAAACACGGCGACTGTAAGCCTAAACATGTTCTTCCTCTCTTTCTTCATCTTCCTCCTCCACCCTTCTTCTTATTCTCTCTACCGCCCCACAGGGTCTGATTCTTCACCAGCTGCAGCGCTACAGTCTGTCGGAAAAAGTCCTGAGGGATGCTGTGCAGGTCAACAGGTGTGTGTGTGTGTGTGTGTGTGTGTGTGTGTGTGTGTGTGTGTGTGTGTGTGTGTGTGTTTGCCAGTGCAATGTAAGTGATTATTATATTTTAGGTCACTCACTACAATATTTCCCTTTCGTCACTTCTATTTTTTCTCTCCTCACCTCCCTTTTCCTCTCCTCTCTTCTTCCTTTCTCTCCTGTTTCCTGCTCTCCTCTCCTTCTCCTACCTTTTCCTTCTCTCCTCCCCTCTTTAATAATCTCTCCTCATTCTTTCATCCCCTCCCTCCCTGTTTCCCCCTCTCCTTTTCATCTCTTGATTTCTCTTCTCCTTCCTCTTTTCCTTTTCTCCTATCCTTCCTGCTTCCCTTTTCTCTCTCTCATCACCCTCTCTCCTTCATCTCCGCCTCCTCTCTTCTTTCCTTCTCTCCTCCTTTTTTGTCTCCTCAGTACGGCTCATGATGTGTGGAACAGCCTCGGTGAGGTGTTGCAGGCTCAGGGAAACGCCGCCGCTGCCACAGAGTGTTTCCTCACTGCCTTGGAGCTGGAGGCCAGCAGCCCCATTCTGCCCTTCACCATCATACCCAGAGCACTATGAAATCCGCACACCGTCACAGTTCTAGCATCAGTACTGTAGCACAGTGGCACAAATGATGGACCTGCAAGCTGCAAACAGCCCGTAGACACACAGTATGCCTGCATGCCAGTTACACACACCTGCACAAAGGTTTACTGCCGTACCCTTACTGTAAATACACACAGAAACACACTGTATAGAAAGGCAGATAGTACACATAAACATACAGACACGCGTCAACCCGCCCTTCCCACAATGCCTTGCTGTGGCTGTGAACCCTGACTGTGTGTGTGAATGTGTGTGTGGGTGCTGACCTGCACTTTTTGTGTGCCTGTTTGTGTCTGTGCATGTACACCCATATCTGTGTATGTGTGCCAACATGTTGCCTGTGCATATTTCTGTCTGGCTGTATGTGATTTGTAGTATGCTGTGTGTTTTTGTTCATAGACATATATAAGATTAAAAGAGTTGAGTTCCTACTCTTGCGTTGCTAGTAGTCAGAAGCCTAAGAGTTTACATTTTGTTTACATGTTATTTAGTCCATTTCCTTTACGAGCCAAATATTACTGATAATCTCAACACACACACGCACACACACGTTCATACGGAGAGGGTCGCTGTTACTGTATGGCTGGCTCAGGAGCATTGACAGACACGATCAACCGATGACTGAGGAGTCAATCACTCAGTAAAGTCTAAATGCCAAAACACGGGCTGCATTTACACACACAGCAGATCAGGACGGCTGCTCTTTTTTTCTACATTTTTTGTTTTATTATAGCACATTGTCTCGTGTGTACAGCCTTTACATGCTCTATTTGTTAAACTATTAGAACATGACATTCTATGGTTTTACAAATGTTCCTGATATTGCACTATTATTCAATTTCCCCAAGGAAAGCTTTGAAACTAAAGGAATAGTTCAACATTTTGGAAAACTTGTTTTGTTTTTTTCTTTTCTTGCTCGACGGTTCGATGAGAAGATTGGTTTCCACTGTCGTGCGTTAGAGAGTGGAACGATCTAACTCTTGGCAAGAAATCCAATGAGCATATTTTCCAAAATGTCAAACCATTGCTGTAAAATAAATCCCATCTTTATAGGAATACTTGTACATATTTCGTGCTTTGGATCTGTTGGAGAAAGCTGATTTTTTTTTTTTTTTTTTTTTTTTTTTTTTTTTTAGCACGAGCAGCTGTAGTCACAATAGATGAACACATAAGAGTGTCAACTACAACTACAGAAACAGAAACTAGATAATGTTGCAGATAACCAACTCAATTTCATATGAATTTCAAAAACCAGAGCTCATTTGTGCCATTTATACATTAACAAATTGTGAGTAATCATGGGAGGAATCTGTTCCACAAATATTCTCAAAAATCTGATTTAATGCCGTGTGTAAATGCAACCGGTGATTGTGTTGTCTTTGTGTCCTGTCATGTTAAATACAACTAGATGAATATACTTTTTTCATTTAATTATAAATACAAAGAATTGTTGTTGTATATTTGATTGTTCCAAGTGTATTATTATTGCTATGGTTTTAGAAAGTAAAATATAATTCTATTTTCTGGTGAGTGATGTTACAGAGATGTTGATGTGAGCTCAGTCAGTGAGTCTTTAGTGCAGTAAATGAATGGCTGAAACGAGGAGGATTACAATGACAAAGATAATAAAAGTGGTTAAAAACATGTGGGACCTCTTTTCTGTTTGTTGTGTGTGATATATTGAAAACATTATTGCTGTAATCAGTAAAAAAAGCCATAGTATTTCTTCTGCTCATAACATATGCTTTAGATCCGATGAGATATGTTTTATCTGAAGGCTGTGTGTCTGTGTCTGTGT